AACAATTTTAGATTTGGATCTACTAAGATTTAATTGCAACAGAAGGCAGTGTGAATTAAAAGTGACCTTGAATTGATAAACGTGTGCTAAGACAACACAAGTTTATTAGCAAATATTTTTAAAAAGTGAATAGTTTTAAAGATGCTAAGTGTAAGACGAAAACTAAGGGAAGCAAAAGTCTGCTGTTAACAGACAATAATAAATATGATACACCTTCTTGCTTCAGACCTGACAGAAAAAATAAGTGACTTACTTACAAAAATGTATTTTAACAGGAGAACACAGCTACAGGCCAGAATAAGGGAAGAACAGTGTTTAGTAAACATGAGAAAGCTGCCTTCAGATTGACAGAATCTGTTCAGAGAAACTAATCAAGTCTATTGTGAAGCAAATAGTGTTAACTCTGTAGATGACAAGAACCTAGAGTTCAGAAAGTTCAGCAGGAAGGTAGTATGCGTACTAGCTGGAATCTGAAGGAAGGCAAAAAATTATGATAGTTTAAGAAAGCATGACAAATTAGGAAAGATAAAAAGGCCCGGAAGATTAGAAATAGGCATACTTTTTTTACTTTCATAAAACAAGGAAATTATAGCAGTTTAAATTCAATACCCCAAAGATACTGACTTGGGTCAGCAAAGATACTGTGAAGAACCCAAAGTCACAACTGATGTGCAAAGAACCTTAACCGGGGGGGGGGTAGGCGGCGCAGGAAAAAGGCAAAAATGATCTAATCCAAGTTTGTTGAGAATAATCTGTGTAAATAGTCAAATATCCTCCTTTGACTGTAAGATTAGCCTAATTAAAAACAGGATATAGAGATGCAAACAGAAGGGTTTTAGAAACAACTGACAAATTTCTCACATTCAAATCTCAGAAGAAATTAAAGAGAATGTATCCTAAATATGGTGACTACTAGGTAGGCATAAAATGAGTTGAAAACTTACACTAAAAGTCTATTAAATAGTTGGAATATAACATAAGTTTATTAAAAGCAAAAAAACCCTGCATGACCCCAACTAGGTCTAGGTTGCAAATACAGACAGAGCAAAGTATTATAAATTGAAAATGTGGTTGGGAATTATATTTCACGTGATAGTCGCACAAAGCTCTACATATCATATTTGACCACTGTATGGAAGTTATGCAGCCAGGCAGCAACACAGCAGGGCAACATGGGCATTAATACCATAAACTGATGAGCTGGCGGTGTGACTATTGGAAGGGCGAGAACTATAATCCTCATTCTGGCATGTAGTGACAGGACTGGTATGAGCAAGACAACAGATTAGTTTTATGCACCCGGGGAAGAAGTGATAAAACACCTTAACATGAGGAAAGACTTCCAGTATGTAAAAATTACTAGGTATGTTGGTTAACTGTCCTAGTTAACAAAACCTCAAACTTAGAGGTAGCATTTTATATATATACAACTTACAGATGTGATGATGTAGGTAAGAGAAAGCTTTTTAAGCAATAACATGCTGTTTTACTGCAAAGTGTTATGCTGGAATCTTGGGAGATTCCACAAAATGCCAAGAAATGTGTATTTGTGACTCAGATGTCCTTTAAAATAGTAGGGGTATAACTGATATTGCCACACTACAGGATGGGTGGATTGGTCTCCAGCCAGTCTGTATGTTTCTAATTCTATGAGGTTGTTTTTGTTAGGGATTCTTTAGGCAGAAAAAAAAAAAAAAAAAAAAGGTTTTTTTCTGCCTAAGTGGTTACCTCTCCTATTCCATACTTGTTTGTTATTATATCAGTTATTAGTGTTAATTTTATCAGAAGAATTATAGAAAAATATGGAAAGTATGTAGAGTGGAAAAAAACAACTGACTGAAGACCCATACGCAACTTGCCTTCCCCGGTGCATGCTCACACATCTCAGTGTGAAGCACTAAGAAAGGCAGAAGCAGCAGTAGCAGGATGCCTGCCTAGTGAGCACTTTGCTTGCTGTGGATGGCTGCATGCCACAAGGCTGTGGAGTACTTTTGGCCAATCCAGACTGGCAGAGTGTCTGGTGTATGTCTAACTAAGCCACAACACAGGAGATGCATCTCTTTCTTTACAAGGCTGTTAGTCTGAATTATTCTGCTGCACTAGAGATTAATTTTGGTAGCAGTAAAATTGATGTATATCATTTAATAAGAATTTACAGAATGAAGTGTATGTTATGATAATACTCTCTCAACTACTTTGTCATAGAAAACAGAAATTGCTCAGTAATGTGAAAGTTTCAGTACTCATGCAAAGTTAGGCCTCATTATAGCATTAAAAAAATACTCTTTCCAATTGCAGTAGACAGTACTCTTTCAAAAACATACCATACATTGCAACAACAACAAAGTCTGCTGCTGCAGTCTAATCCCATGGGGGATTAACTGCAGACAAGAAATACAGGTAGCATTCCCCTTCGTATAGCAACATTTTTATTATTAAAAAATGAATTTAGTATTTTAGCAGTAATGGAATAAGCAATTAAAATATAAAGTTAAACCCAACAGCTAGGGCATTTGATGTCTTTTACAAAGTCACTGGGATAATGCCAGTCTTTGGCTCACCCTCAAAGAAAAGCATAAACCAGTAAACAGTATTAAGGCTTTTTTATGCTCCAGAGATTAATTATTCAGCTATGACAAATGAAATTCAGGACGGCACTGCTCAGGTCTTACTCTAACTTGTTATTCTTGTTTTATGACTGCATCTTCAGTGTGAAGATTTTCTGTTGCTCCCAACTCACCCAACCTAACTATGCCACTATTCATGTCTAATTTAAAAAAACAAATACCAAAGACAATCTAATTTCTATTCTGGGTCAACACCATGCCGACACAAAGCCAGGAATACACAGTACCACTGTGCTCTACTACTTATTTGCAGTCAGGAGGGTTCCATCAACCACGAGCTGGACTGACCTGAATAATGAAAGCTTACAACATATGCGTAGCCTTTGCTGGTTTGCAGTCACTAGCACTATTATACCATTCAGTTGTGATGCCTGCTTTATGGAAGACACATGGATGCTTTCTCATTCCTCAGCTGGCCAGTGTGTGTAAGCTGATGAAAAGCTATAAGGAGGATTTGCCTCATACTGCATCACCCTGTTAAAAAGCAACATGATGATTTCAAAGAAAAAAATAAAATAGTCTGGTGGATATACATAAATATTTATTATCAGTTTAACTTCATTTTACTAGAAGTCTTTAAACATAGTTTTTCTTTTTTTGCCAAAATGTTGCATCTCTGACACAGTTCCTACTGTCATAGCTTCCCTGCACTGGGAATGCACAGCTTACACTTAGATTCTAAAATAATCTATTCAAGATAAAGAACCTTCAACTTTAGTGCATATGGAGCTATTTAAAGATTGGTAAAAAGACCTCCCCTTCCCCTCCCAAATTAAGAGTCTGTTACAAAGAGATTTCATTACCAAAAAGTGAATATACAATGCTAAAAAAATGCTGGCTTGAAAAAGTGATTTCAGAATTTACTGTACACGTTGTAACAATTTATTATATAAGCTGCTTCTACATGCAAGCAGATCTTACATTTGGTGTAAAACATTTATACACATTCTTTACAATTTGTACATATTTAAATGGCTGTATCAAACAACACTGCGCTATGGAATTTTGGAAGCAAACAACTAAAATTGGGAGGAGAAAAAGACAAGATTTATAAAACGTGAACAAAACCCGTGACACTGAAAAACATCTAGACTTGACTTAGGCTTAGTCTGGTTTGGTTTGGTTTCAGGTTATTCAGGCAGACCCAGATTTTCCTTCTAGCACACAAAAGTAACACCAGTGCAAAAACAGAGTAAGGCAACTATTCAACCAGCAGACTGTACCCGTCACTCAGAATGGCTTATTGGTAAAATGCCTTTTTTTTTTTAGTTTTTATTTTTTGCTAAAACATTTATATTCTAGGCACATTTTAGCAAAAACAGCATTTTGGCTTCCCTGCTTGATTATAGCATGAAATGAATTACTGTAGTTTGTGTGCATTGTGAACAAGGTTGGTGGTGGCTTTTTTGTTTTGAGAAGCCCAGGCCTCAAATGATATTTCAGTAGTATGAAAGAGGACACTGGGCCACTTGATAAGAGATGTTGATCAAAGCACAGAGTTTGTGTGATAACTAACGATGTTATTCAGTACTGTTGTCACCTTTTAGTTTGCATTAGAAGGTAACAAAAAGTTAACCCAAGCCAATAGCATACCATACTACTACATGAAGACCTGAGCTTAGTTGGAATTCGGGGACTTATATTAGTTTGGATTAGATGTGGCAGTGTCCCCCCTGCTGAAACACTTCAAACTCTCAGAGGGATAAAAGGGAAGTTGGCCCTCTACATCACTGAGGAACACCAGTGCCTTATGGCATAACATCAGGGGGTGCCAAAGTGCTGGTATGGAAAACTGTTTTCCACACATTCCTGAATGGCTCTTTCCTAGTTTGTACTTTGTCTTCTCACACAGTGCATAGCCAGAAAGAAAGAGCCTGACATAAGCTCTGAGGTGGTGTGCCACAAGTACAAGATTTAGTTAGAAGGAAAAAAGGAAAGAGAAGAATGAGTGATACTTACCAGAAGTCATAATGGGAGAAGTTTGCCATGGCTGTGTATGGGAAGCAAAACTTAGAACAGTGTTCATTCAGGAGATTATCATGAACACATACCAGAAACATACACAAATATAATTCCTCCTGGCTACTGAATCACTAGAGAGCTGAATTGAATATAATGAGTATTAAAGTAATTCTCAAACTTGTCTGCTTTCCCACTTAAAAAAAAAAAGATAAAAATTTGTAACTGATGTTAAGAGTTTTTGGAAGAACATCTGATAGACGCAAGTCTGCATGAAGTCCATGGCAATGTAACAGTTTGATAATTTAGATCCCTATAACTGACAGCATTATCTAGCTGTTTTATTTAAATAATGATACAAATGAGAGAGCATTCAAGATAAGAGAACCTTATCTTATGATTTAGGCTGATAAAGTAAAATTTTAAATAATTCTTTTTTTCTACAACTGATTTCTGTTGTTGGGGTTTTTTTGGTGGATTTTTTTTGGCTGGCAAAGGCTAACAAGTTTTTATTAGCATTGCCCCCAAATCAGAAAAGCACTTCGGAGTTGTTCTTTATTGTTGAATATTATTCTCTACATCACAGGAAAGCGGCTGAGTGCCTGCCTCAGCTTCTGTGCAATCTGAAACAAAGAAACAGAACATATTTAATATGTAGTCACTTTATACTATGCAGAAATACAACAGCAGGCTAAGAAATTAATTGTTCCCTCATTTTCTGAAAAACTGCAGATTTTACTGCAGATTTTGTGTATATAGGACTCTCAAAGCATTCCATTATAAAGACTTTTCATCTCATATATACATTTTCTGCCTTGTTCATTTTGTGCTTTCACTGCTCAGGTTGTACTGGAAAAAAATATTGTAGGCAGGGCTGTCATTCTGCCTGTTAGGTTATCTAGCACTGCACTATGCAGGAGGGCTACAGGAACAAAGCCAGATTTTTCATGAAATCCACTTCCCTGCTGAAACAAGGCCACACATCAGAACAGAGCTCTTGTGCTCTCCCCACAGCTCTCATGGTAGCCACATGTGACCATGGATCTGGTTCCTGTACGGGGAAGAGAGGATTGGTACAAGGAGACTGGTGAGGGTGCAACCAGAAGAATTGGGATAGACTGGACAAGAGACTGAAGGAAGGCAAGGGGAAACCTATGCCTAACCCCATCAGATGTGTCAGAGAAACTGAGCAAAGTGACCTAACGGGGGACCTGAAGTTCTCATCCACAAAAGATACCTCTGAAACCCCACTGGCACCTTTTACTGCTGTGAAGGGCAACCAGTTGCTTATATTCCTCCTTTAAGTAATAGAAGCCAGGTTCCAGCACACTCAAACTCACATGTTTTACCAGCATATCAAATTAGAAAATTTGTCCTCGGGTTTCATTTAAAATACCACAAGGAATACATGCATAAGAACAATGTTAAATGAGAACTAAGGTTGTAGGTCAAGTGCTCAGTTAACATATTTAATAAGTCACCTAAACCACTCCAGTCCCCCCCACCCCACACTTGCATACATCAGGCTTTAAATCACAGCAGCTTCCCTTTGTCCTCCCATCCTATGGGAAGGAAATTTCATTCAAATGGTTTATTGTTGCATTCAGTGCAGCAGGTCTTACTGCATGTCATAGAACTAAAATTCTTTGTATCTTTAGTACTGGCATTGAAAAAAAAAAATCAAGCTGTCAACAATAATGTTTCTCAACACTGGTTTTTAGGTCTAATGACATAGTCATATACATAGGATAGTATCTATAGGAAAATACTATTTTAACTCATTCATTGTTTTTTTGGTTTTTTTTTTTTTTTTTACATTTACAATTCTTCAAATATCTGCTCTCTGGGAGAGGCTTATACAAAAAGATGATTAAGTATTGTGAGTATTTCTTATGAAAGCAGCAGCACAGCACGCGCCAGGAAAATGGTACTGAAATGCTACACCTTACCGTTTCATAAAACTGTGCCTGCTGCTCCAGATACAGACGAATGACACTGTTGTAGTCATAAATCCGGTTACTGTGGAAGTGATTCATCTCAGCTGCAATTAGACCCAGGAGGCAAATTATTTAAGAGAAGCATTCGTAATCAGGAATAGTTTCACTCAGTTCAGGTTAGTTACTGTGCAACAAGCTCAGTGTCCAGCCCTGCCAGCACAGTTACTGTTCTCATGCTTCCACAACCTGTTTTGCCTGTAGCACTCAGACTATGATGGAACTGTTTGTAAAATTGATAGGGTGTCAATTACTCACTGCTAAAATATAGACACTTCCTGGATAAAGCCAGGTTCTTGTTACAATACTCAGGTGTACAAAGATTTGGTAAAGAATAGAAGTGGGATTTTCTCCTGAGGTAACTGCTCTTTCCTGAAGTGTTTCCAACAGAATTTGGCTAGGACATTCAGATTTCCAAGGGTATAGATATCAAGTTGTAAGCCACAGCTGTAAATATTTAGCTCAAAAAAAGATACAGCCAGTAGCGTTTGACCTATTCTTGACTGAGGCTGTTTCAGTAGAAACTTGAGAAATAGCATTACTGAACCTGTAAAGCCTTTCACCACTTTCTGCATCTCTTGTCAAATCACAGCTTATGGCCGAAATAAAAAGTTAAGTATATTTTGAGATACAAATAGAGGGAGAAGGAATATTCTAGGTTGTAAGAGACATCCTAGAGGTCTCTTCCATGATTGCCACTTATACAGCACAGTCCTCTTGCATCATTGTGACCATGAAAGAGGGAGTGGGGAGTTTTCTTGTTTGTTTTTAAAATCAGTTTTGTGTGCTGCTCTGACTTTGTCCTGTAAAATACTGAGTACTCTTGGCTTTAAGTCAGTGAAAAAAGATGCAACTCCCTCAGCAATAAGTAGTCCCACTTAAGACAGTAACAGGATGTGCTTAAGGGCTTGATATCCTGCAGGACTGAGCCCGGACTCCTCACTTCCCCCGGTTTTTCAAGTGTGGTGTGTTATGTCCCATATTTACAACATCTCTAACCTAAAGAGGAAAAAGTTCATTCAAAGAACATCCAGGAAATAAAATCTTATCCACAAGAACATGAATCTCAACTGGATCATGTCTGACTAAGCCATGAGTCAGAAAAACACTTCTGCCCATACTTTTTCTTTGAGACATTATCACTTCAAAATGAAAGAATCAGCCTGGGGTGGTTGGTGTTTGGTGGTTTGTTTTGTTTTTAATGCATTTCCAAAATATGTATCTCTTGCAATAGCAATATGAGATTTGAAAGAAAACATTGGGCAAGGTAACTGCAATTTTAGGAAAATCTAAGCAGGTCACAAAAAAAACCCAAACCATGCCTAGCTTTTATTATCATTCCTGGTAGAACAAAGATTCTCTTTCAAAGTTTGTTACTTCGGAGATGTCCTTCAGAGGTCTACAATATTGCCATTTAGCCCAAAATTTGGTTTACCTTGTAGTGCATAAGCCATGGTGCTCACACGTTTCACCATGTTCTGTTTGTCTTGTGGTGTTATTTTACTGGTTGCAACTAATTTATCACTTTCCTTCACTCTTTCTATTGCTCCCTGTAGAAACCATATGCAGAAAGATTAAAAAAAGTACATTAAAAGAGTAGTCAAAGGTCTTTATAATCATCTAAAATGCTACTGGCCACATTTTGAGCTTGCACACTCTACAAATATATATACATGCACAACGACCAATTCTGCCTTCCCACATTTTCACCCAAGTTTATTATTTCACTATTGCTTTCAAGAGTCCTAACAGCTTGCAAAAAGTGACTTCGAACACAGGCATGAACACAGTCACTAGGAAACCGAGTTTGGTAAAGGCAGTAATACACAAGGATACATACAGAAAGAACAAAAGGACCAAGTTTCAAAATACAGCTGACCAACACAACAGACATCCAAAAGCCTCAAACTATCAAATGCCTGTAGCAGCTTATTTGCACATTATACAAGGTAAGACAACATGAGTGATTTTCCAGGAGACTACAACTCATTGCAATGTATAACTTCTGATTTGGGAAAATCCTTGTGTCACTAACAACAAGCATAAGAAGAAATGCCTCTCCCTTCACACTGTATTTGTGCCAAACAACATTCAAGAGAATCAATCTATTTACACGTCTCTTGGCAATAGGCTTATGTTTCGAGTTTTAAAAACATTTATTCTCCTTTTGTGGTATTTTTCCCCAAGGATTCTGTGGGATGAGGGACTGCAAGTGTCCTGAAGAAAGAATACACAAATCTGATATGCTCCTATCTTTGTTACTCTCAGAAGTATGTTGTTTTATACATTGAACACTTCAAGTGGTAAAAAAAAAAAAATAATACTTGTGTACTAATGTAACGCTTCAAAATTTTTAGTTTCTTGAAATATGTTACAGCAGGCACGTGAACATAAGGAATTCTCTAGGACCGAAAAAAAGCAGAATATCCCAAACTAGACACAATGGCTAAATTTATTGTTTTATTATTTAATGACTGTCACGTTAGAAAGAGGTTGGTTTTTGTTGCTGGTGTTTTGTGGGTTTTCTTCCCCAGAAAAGTTAGTCCTATTCTCTCTTTTTTTTTTTTTTTTTAAATATTAAAGAAACTTCTAGGCAGTGCATGATTATTTATCGCATATCAGTAAGCTAGCCATGTAGGTGTACCAAATTTTTCCTACAATACTGGTATGGTTTAGTATCAACTACCATGTAAGACTCAAATACTACAAATTTACACTACCGCTATTCACCACATTGGGACATAAAGTTAACCTGAAGAAAGTCATGAAGCTCCTAGTGCTCTACTATAGCAGAAAGTCATGATATTCTCAAATCTCAAGACAAGTGCTAGCTTTCCTGCCCTGCAAGTATTTTTTTTTTTTTTTTTTTTTTTTAAAAATCAACATGCCAGTTCCACAGAAACTTTCAGTGTTTCTGGAAGAAGGGCCCAGGCTTCTGCACAAATGCAGTGTACCATACCACCACTTTTGTTGCTGTAGATCTTCCTACTGCCCAACCCTTAAAAGGAAAGGCCCCTCACATACCTTATGAGCTCCTATGATGTCAGGGAAGCAACCAAGAAATCCCTTATATTCATGATTTGTTTCCATCAAAAAGTGAAGATCTTTCTTCGGCTAATAAACAAAGTGTAAGCATTAGTAGAAGTATCTGTGGCATATTAACATCGCAGAAAAGAAACTATGATGCCAAAAAAGGATGAGGGAAAAAAAGGGAAGGAAAGAATAGAAGAAACCCAAACCAAAATATTAATTGTTTGTTGCAAGTTTTTCATATTTAAAAAGGTCCTTATAAAAATAAAAGCTTTTTGGAGTAAGGCACCAAGCACCAGTGAGCAAATGCCTCTGTTCTTTGTTTTACTCAATGCTAGCTTATGAAGTGAGGGTTTTGCCTCAAGCTTTCACTGAAGAGGAGTTACCAGTACAATCTCATTACATATACAGATATGTACATGCACTGGTGCATCTCCTGAGTCACTAACTTGGAAAGCTGTTTCTAGAACTTCCAGTCTCAACCCTGAGATCAAGAGGATCTACGTTTTGGAGACTTTAAGCTTAATACACTACACATCAATTTATGTCTTGAATACTGACACCAATCAGGACTTATTTATGCTACATTTTTACTAAAGCAGGCAATTGCACATCAAGACAATGAAACACAGTAAGATCTGGATCCTGTAGACATTTGGGGAAGGGAAAAACCTGATCCTTGACATCAGAAAACACATTTAAAGAGAAAGTAATCACTTTAGTATTTTAGACCCTCCCATCACATCCCTCCTAAGTTGACATATAGTAGAAAAGAAGACAAAAGTGCATTTAAAAGTATTAACAGTAATTTCATTTAACTGGTCTGCAGCACTAGCAGTTGTTTTAACAGGAATGAAAAAAAGAAAAAGTCAGAAGTTATCCAAATAGGTGGTATGTTTGTACATGCTATGCCAATACATTCATAATAATTCTACCTGATCTGCTACAAGACTGGCGATTTCTTCATAGGTTTTTCCTGCTTCTGTTATTGCTCCATTGAGATCAGACTCTCCTAAAAGTAAATATCAGTGTTCAAATTACAGTAAGTGATTTACCTTGATTCAAGGCAAATTTCTAAAATAGCTTATTTTACAATAATAAATGCCTAGTCATCATTTCATAACCAACAGTAATACAGAAGTTAGAAAAATATTAGTAGTTTTTATATCATTAAAGAAGGAAAACTCTGAAGATCTTGTAGAAAATGAATGCTAAAGGGACCACGTAAACACTATTCTACCATAGTGCTAGCACTATTCACTTCCACATTTCATAATTACATGTAGTTTAAATACACAGGTATTCCCCCACATGGGGCAACAGGAAGCCTACCAGAATGGGAGACAAGGGAGAATGGGGAGGGTGACACTAGAAGATAGACTAACAAAGTTGAAGAGGCACCTGCTGTTCTGATTTTTAATAAATTATTTTCATACCCGATAAGCAGTAAATTCTCCACGATGCCCTGTGGAGGAGTGATGCTAGCCCTAAGCTCTCCAACAGTCCTGGACCATAATTGTTGGAAGGTCAGAGAAGCAGAAGGAGGCCCAGCTAACTTTTTTCCTTGCCAACAAGATTTCTGACACTTTAGGGAACTCGTGGATAATATTTTCAAGCTCTGTAAGAACTGCTGCTTTTGAGAGTAAGTTTCTAACTTTCATCATCACATGAAATAGATCAAAGGGCCCCACAAACTACACTTAAAAACATAGACATCACCACAAATCCTAAGCTAGATAACACCACAAGTGCTCATAACACTGTATTACTAGCAGGACATGGCTACGTGGGACAAAGATGAAAACAAGCCTTACATTCTTGGTTTTTTCATGCCACTTCACCTTCCCAAAACACCACAGGTTTTTTCCATCCTCATTAGCTTGTCCAAAGCATGTAGTCAACAGTATGGAAAGCAAATTGAAGTAGAGAAAGGGGAAGGTATAATTTGCAGATTTTGCATTTTATTTTTAAAAATTTCTCACCCTTTCAGACATGCCTTGATATTAGGCAGCAGTTAGTCTTTTACAAACATTTTGTTTTTATTTTATAGACATTAATCAGTGACTTGATTGAAAATTACCAAACATTGACTTCATTAATGATTAATTTGAACATTAAAGTATCTTCTTTTACTACAACGTATAGACTAATCTGCGTTAGAGATTTATTAGATCGTATTCCTTCATTTTAGCATGTCCTAAAGGAAACAAGGTAATGACTAAATGTTGCTTCAGTTCTATTAATCGATTCTTACTTTCCATAAGACTGGTTTCATAAAGCCAAAAGCTTTGAGGGAAAGCTGCTGATCCTAAGAACTAGTAAGTCCAGGTACACAAACACTGCTAAAGAAATAGTTATTTTTCTCCTATTTGAGCCTGTCTGGCTAAAATAAAAATAAAAACAACATGAAATGCCATTGTGGGATCTAAGAGGTACATAATTCAGAAGATAACTTCACATTGTTGTAAAACAATAACAAAATTTCGGGGAGCTCAATTTCATTATTTCAGGTAGACTTAAATAATTTCATTATTTCAGAATTCCCCTTGTTTGCTCAGAAGTAACCTTGAAGTAACTGCTACTTTGGCAACTGACTCCTAGATTTTGGTACAAAACATGGTGTGGCTTTAGAGTCAGAAGCCAGGTTAGTCTAGATGTTGCTGTTCATTTCATAATACCATAAAAGATGATGACTTTTCCTATCTGAGCAAAACAGAAGAGGAAGAGCACATATATTTGAGCGGAAATAGAAAATCCTCCCCTTCTGTGCAGAACTCACTCAAAGGACCTTCATATATTGGAGCTTCAAAGAATCTAGACAAACCCTCCCAACACTGATCCTCTTTCATTTGGGGGCAGCAGGGCACAAAGCCAGCTTGTAGAAGCGTACATTAAGAGTTTCTACAACTAGCAGAGGCATCCACACTCCTCCAGAAGACAGTATATTTAAAAGTTGTTCCAGAGAGCAGATCCTGACAATAGACAGGCACACAAGTGGCAGAAGAATATCCACAGCTCCACACTCTGCATCCTCGTCTTCTACAATCCCTTTTTCAGGTAGTGCATAGGGCAGCCTTAGAGGGTCAGATTTCATCTCTCACCTGTTGCACCCTCCAAGTTTTAAGACACGTTAGCAGTGTCATGCCATGCTCAGTAGGTCGCTCCCTACACCAGGGCACCTTGTCAGAGATACCACATACAACCCACAGGCTCACCCATCAGAGTAACTTGAATTCCAGCAGCAGATTGCTCCCAATCACTGTTGTCAGCATGGGTTTTGGTCAAAGTTTTGTTACTTGGACATGGCCGAGTTTCTAGTGTTCTCAGCTTCTGAACCGATAAGAAGCCCATTTGCCAGCTTCGCAACTCAAGCCATTAAAAGCTGAGCTGGGTCCCAGTGCAAGGATATACCAGGATGTTGACTTCTTTAATCAACAGAAAAGCAGAAAGCCCCACATGCTGCTGATGTTTACAACAAAATTAGGGCAATGTGCATTACATGTATCCACAGGAGAAACAGAGAGAGCTTAAAAGTATTGACTAAAGGTAGTTGCAAAAAGACCAGTTAAAATGGTCAGTAATATTCTACAGATGTTTTAACCCAATCACATGGACAAACTGATACTGTCATTGATTTACAGACCTGCATGCTGTCATAGGGAGATGAATGAAGATGTAAAACTATGACGAGTCTTTTGGAGATGTTTAACAGAGCATCTCTTAGCAGTTCAACTGCTTCGTAAATGCCAGTGATTATCATATCTGAGGAAATACACCAGGTATATTGAAGGAACTAATACTCTGTAAGGCTTGACTGGGGAAGCAGAATGTTTTTTTTAATCAAGTAGTGTTTTTGTTTTCTTTTCTTTCAAAGCATGTTTTAACAGAATCCAAGAGTAGGAAAAAGATACAGTTTGATGTACTATGGAACTACTTGTAACAAGATTTTTTTCTTGACAAGTACACCTTAGACTGAATGTTCAGCACACAAGCAGCTTGGAAGGCAAGATGTGCCTGTTGCTAGCTGGCAGGATAGTGAAACTTGCATGTAACTGCCTAACAAAATTCCTGAGGGGTGATGTTGGATTAGGAGATCTTACTATGGCTGAATGGCATATCACAGCCATTCATGTTTTCTTAATATAGGAGAAAGACTCGCTCAGATTTGGCACCACAAAAGAGAAGCCATGCTATTTAAGGCTGCATTAACCTAAGAGCATCGTACGATGCAGAAAGATAGCCAACATAGTGCCAGGCTGCAAGACACTTCCAGGCTTATTCTGGAGCTGTCCAATATGCATTTTTTTTTGGACCAAAATCATACTTTCAAAGCACATGTTCTTAAAACCGATCAGACAGTACATAGGCCCATGGCCAAGTTAAATGAGAAACTCTCAATGCGTCCTTAATAGTTTTAAAGGTACCCTTCCTCTGCAAATACTTGGGACAGATTCCTAGTATGCACTGTGGCTGGCAACTAATTGCTAAGGCTCATTCTGCAGCATAAGAAAGAGAGCTGGATTCTGAGTCAGATTAAGGAGTGCATCTTGCCTGGTGCAAGTCTTAAACGTTTTAGGCTGGAAATTAGAAGAGAAGGCAGCAGACATTCACCACACATAATAAGGATTTACAGAGCAAGCAGGCAGCACTGATGAAAGAGGTAAGGACAGTAGATACATCCCATGCTAACTACAAAGTAACCAACTAACAGTGTATTCAGTATGTTGGAAATCAGCAGTAGCTGGAAACATTCCTGTCATCAAATCAGTTGTTGCAATCTTTAGTGGCCTATATGCTTAAACTTCCAGGACTGAAGTATTTAAAAAAAGAAAAAAAGAAAAAAAAAAGAGGATGAAGATATTCAGCTCCCAACAGAAACTGAACTGAGTGCCTTTAAGTATGGCTGAAGGAGCCATTCCTCTTTACTGATAGTCCACAAAAATCATATCCCATACTCAAGCCTAACTAGTACTTCTTCATTTGAGGGAATGTGCCTTCTTTTAAGTATTGAGATCTGGAAAGCCACATCCTATCAGTTTAAATCCAGGTGCTTACATCTCTTGCACAGAGTCTGCTTAATCCACAGACCTGTACCTGAGGCAACCATCAAATGAAATTGTATCAGAACAGCAGGCAGGACAGAGTGAGGGCACCAGTGATGAAGACATTTAAAGCAACACGTGCACTGCACTTATTCTCTCTTCCTGGGAACTCAAATTAAAAAGCAAAGAATCCCATATATTATTAATTCTGGAAAAATACACTGGTGTACCAGTTATTAAAAAGAGCAAACTATATGCAATTAGGACAAAGGCATCAGTGGGAAGGGCATTTTCCTCAGCAAGATACTAGGGTGCAACCAGGTACAACTGGGCAAGCAGCAAAGAGAAACATCCTTGTCTTGTTCCCAAGCATCATGGGATCTATTTTTTCATACCATTCAAAGATGCTGGAAATCAAACTGAAGCTTTGATTCTTAAGGTTGATCTGCAATTTTGCACCCTAGCTTTAAGCCATATTGTTTTCCCTTTACCCTGGCAAAAGAACATGTGTTATAGTTCAAGCAATTTTCAGTCCTTTCTCAAGAATTCTTACTAGATTGTATCTGGCTAGGATTTACAGCTCTCTAACCCATGCTAAGAGTACATAGCTATGTAAATCCCCTACCTGGTTCTCACATCTAAAAGTAACATTTTAGGCAATACGCTATGCTCCAATTCTAACTAAGCAGTCATCCTGTTGAAGTATAGGACAAAGATGAGAACAAACTACAGGGACTATGCCTATTTCCAATGCTTCCAGCAGCAGAGAACCCAAGTTTCAGAAGCAGTTGCATTTTAATACATGGTTTATGGGGCAAAAAGCTTTAAGAGTACAAAGCAAGGGGTAGATGAGTAGCCAGAGTAAGCACTGGCCAACTAAAAGTCCTAAGATGGAAAGATTTCAGGGAACCTCTATACTATAACATTTAAGGTTTTAGAACAGAGCAATTTTGCTATTAAGTCTAGGAAAAAAAAAACCCAAAAAACAAAAAAAACCCAAACCAAAAAACTATTGACAAGAGAATCCCAGAGAAAATGGACTCAATAAGCTCCCTCTGGGATATGAGGAGATATTTTCCTGTTATCTGGAAAACATCAGCAGGATTTTAAGTTTAGCCTAAAGACCACATTTTAGGAGAACTTTGAGCAATTGATGCCCTCCTTTTCCCTCCCACAACTTTCATATCTAACAGGACAGGCTATTTTAGGGCTCTTGAAGGAGAAGGAAAGGTGAAGGACAAGAAAAGGCTACAGTAGCCAACCTTCCAGCCCACATAATGGTATACAAAAATCTTGTATTAAGTTTTCCATCCTCATGTGGAGTTGCTGTTTCATGAAGTCACACAATAGTTCTGTGACAGATATTTTCAAGGCTGCGTTTTCTCCCCTTTCCTTTGATATCACAAAAAATGCTACAGCATGTTTTGTCAGTCAGGTCAGTAGCCAGATTATACATTAACGAGATCAAGCTAAACTCCTCCACCACCACAAACCCACCACATGATTATACAGTAACAGAAAACAAGATTTCAGTCTAGAATAGAAAAACCCCATAATACACACAGGGAAACAAGTTTTTAATATTTTTTCCAGAATCATATTTGACAGGTGAATTTCAAAGAGGAAAGCATTAAGCTCTTTGGCAAAAAATGCAGCATCATGTAATTAAAATATCTTTTGTTAAGTAAAGTACAAATGAAGCTATAGAAGTACCTTGGTATCCACTTGTGCTGAAGACCAGTGCCAGGCTCTGCAATGCTTTTCCTATCTTCTGGTATTCCTTAGGTAGTGCTGGAAGTGGGAAAAAGATGGGGAGAAGAGGGAAACAGAAGCAAAAACCCACAAGGGTAAGTGAGACTAAAACTGCAGCATTTCCAAAACTTGATAGAAGCAGATGTCAAAAACAACTAGGTTTTACATTTCCTCTAGTGAAGCATTTACAATCACATTCTTACCCCCTCCCCTGCTACAGACGTTCCAAAACTGGATACAGCAATTACAATCTGGATTCCTGAAAGCCACAAACAGTTGGGGAAACTGTGTGTGATTGCTATAAAAAAAAAAAATCTCACTGCACTCCTAGCTCAGTCCTCCTATGCACACAGCAAGATTTTTTTGTCCCCCTCATGAGCAGACTTTATCCTCCTGGGCGAGGGGGGGGGGGGGGAGGGGAGAAGTGCTGCAGTGACACGGAGAATAGATCTCATTAATATTTTAAGAGAAGAAATTATTATACAGACCTGTAATACCTAAACTCTCCTCAAATCACGGATTTTATATTAAAGGCACTAGAAACCAAGATTATCTAGGCATAAAAATTGATGGAAGTATCTGAATAATAACATTGTTTTTTATAATCTACTTATTGCAAAAGTATGCATAAATTGCTTCTTCATAATGAAGTCAATAAGCTGTGATTTATGAGTGCGTTCATTATTAACACTTCGAATACCACCACCCCAGAGGCCTAAAAAGCAATCTGAAAAGCGAAAGCAGTTTTTTGTAAGCTACTTATGCTAGCAGGAAAAAAAACCAAGTAGATGTGCTTTTTGTCAAATATTTGTATTCAGAGGGCAAACTGTCCAGGTAAATAGCAGTTTTTTAGTTGCTCTAGCATCCTACACAATCTGATTTTCACAGAGGAACCCCTTTGTGTGGCAAAAAAAACAAAAGCCAAAAAACATCGCCCCCCAAACCGCGTAATTTTATTGATTATCTTTGATCAAGTTCTTGCTCAGAAGTTAGATTATTTATGACAACTGGTATTTCTTATAAAACAGGTACCATTCAGAGTACTAGAGTTCTGTTATCAGCCATTAACTTGTTACTGAAGTTCCCACTGGGGATTCAGTGAAGAATGTTTGGTTTCTTTCCACTTGCATTGAAGAAGTTTCCACTGTCAATCATTTTAAATATCATAGAATGGAATGCACATAACTACTGCTCAGGAAGTGCCAAAAATAATTCTGACTAGGAGCTGGGACTAGAGCTGACAGAGAACTTAAAACCTAAAAGACTACCGAAATGCTTCAGTTTTGCATGTCCCAATTTACCAGCCTCCTTTTTCTATTCGGTATGAATGTCTGGAAAATGAAAAGTTCAAATTTTCAACACAATCACATCTGACTTGCTACATTTATGCTAACTAATTAATTGCTGTAAGTATTAGAAGAGTCATTCCATGCATAAAGCACTAGTGTCAAAGTTTAAGGAGATTTTAGCAGTGAACAAAATATTGAATTTCTTCTGTAAGGGCTGGCTGTGACTTGTGCTTAACTATGGTGGTTTTGACCATTGCTTCTGTAACCACAAAGCAACGTTACTTTTCTAGTCTCATCTGAGGGGCCTTATTCCTTCCCCTGCCCTCCACTTCACCCACGGTATCACTTCCTAGTGAAGTGAGATCTGTACAATGTTAGAGCTATGTCCCGTGTTAGACTATTTTTGACCAGCAGGAGGGTCAGTGACATGTAGAAGGAAACCCTCTTATTCTAAATTATTTATGTTTCCCCACTTTAAGTTCACATCCTACAGATACTAAGGTCTAATGTAATCACTACCAGAAGAGACTGGGCTTCTATACTTCCCATTCCCTCCAGTCAGACCCAGATACTCAACTGCAGTGTTAGATTAGAAAGCAGCGAAGAGCTAACTCAGGAGATGTACTCAGTCCCAAGTCTGAGGACAATGTTTTTTGTGGGAGTTAAAGAGAGGGGGAAGAAAAAAGAAAAGAAAAAAAAAAAAAGGAAAGATGAAAATGGAGGGGATTTGAGGAGATCTATGTGATAGGTCTTTGGTCACCAGACACTACAGCCTGCCCTGAAGTGTTTCTTATTATGATCCTCAGCTGTAGTACCTGCTTCCTTTCAATAGCTGCCTTGTGGTGGCCACAAACACTGAACACTGCTGTGGACTAGGAAATTAGGGCCCAGGCAGAGTCATAGGGACTTGGTGTGAAGTTCTGCAACCCTAAATATCTGTGGGAAGGAAGAGACAAGATAGGAGAAAAAGAATTGGGCTAAAGATTAAGTTAGAATCAAGTTGTTTTTTCTTTCCTTCTTTTTTAAAAACTCATTTAATCTTTAAATCACTCCTGCTGGCATGCAAGAATCCTAAATAAGGGGTTAATAAAATGCAATCATTTATGATTTAATCAAATAGACAGGTCTACTTTGCCCATGTCACTAAAATGTAGATAAATGACAAATATATGAGAACAGGTCCCACAAGAGCTTTAGCTGGATTACTAGAATTATTTAACTTTTAATATTATTAAACCTATGGGCAGGGACCAGATATTTCTGTTATGAGAGAAAGAAAAAAACCCACCACAACACAAAAACACAGACAAAAAACTTGCACAATTTATATTCTCAGACCCTGAAAACAGCCAGAATGCCACACAATTCTCATGATAATTTAGGATTTCTTTTAGTTTTAAGATGTGCCTTGAATTATGAACAACAAAAACAACAACAACAAAAAAACCCACACAGAAAAGCAACACAGAAATAACTGCTGAGTTCAAAAGGGACACTTACGTCCTGTACACCTCTTCCAGTGCTCTTGTCCCACTGTCAGCAGCTCTTTAACTCCATCATCCATTGCTTTGGTGAACCTACCCACTGCATCACATTTCTGTTCTCTGTGGCATTTGGAAAAAGCAAAAAGAAAAAGCAGTTTAACAGATGCATTATGCTAACTTTAAATGCAATATTGAAATGTTTAGTAGTGTCAACTAGGTCTTAAAAAAAAAAATCAAAGAAATAAATTAATTCCTTGAAACCTCTGCCATTTCACTGAGGTCAGAATTTCCCTTTTTAAAGACAGGCATTTTTCATTCTATTTTTCCCTCCCTCTGTTAAACATGTGGTACGGGACATCATTCTTACTATAGTTAGTTACTTTCAAAAAAAAAAAAAAAGGCTACTCACTAAATATCTTCCCCAGTGAGATCAAATGATAACAGAACAGCAAAATCTGATTTGAGGAAAACACATCCCTAGAGCACTTAACACAAACAGAAGGACCCCACATTGACAGGAAATTAGATGTTGAAGTAACAGAAGTAGCAAAATTCATACAACAATGAACAAATATAAAGAAAATAATTGTTCCAGATATTTTAATAGAAATCTAAAATAGGTGAGTAAAAATTAATCTAGCAGTTCTTCTAGGGAAGTATATATGCATAACTTTTATATTGTATTGACAATACCATTGTGTTCAGTAGTGTTATAGAGAAGGGGGGGGGGGGAATCAGGGATGCTCAAAAGATAATTCTGAATTAGTATGTGCCTTTTTACCCCTCTAAGCATGTTTTCATGCAGCTATCAAAGCTTTCCATTAACATAGACTGCATACACAGCAATGTTCTGTGAACTCGACAAAAGAAAACTAGACACATATTTTCTAATTTTCAATGAGAATTATTCAAACTGCATCAGATCTTACAAACACTCTCAGCCAAAGCCTGTATGAGACAGCTCTCACAGCAAGCAACTCTTTAGAGCCAGGGCAGCAACTCCAGCTGCAGCCCAACCACCTAGAGGCTCCCACCTCCCCACTGGCACTTCCTTCCCCAGCTGGAAACCCTACCCAAAGAATTACTTGCACAGAAACAGAATCTGGGCTTTCCAAGAGGCCCTTGTTTTACTCCCATTTTCCCAGTAGCAAACCATCTTTTAATTTTCTGTACTTCATACTTTAAGGTATCATGATCACAGAAAAAGTTCATGAACCAGCACAGGGTTACCATCCTTTGATCAAAACCAGGACAACACAGGACTGCCAAAGTACTAGCAAAATTGTTTCAGTAAAGAGTGTCTTTTCACTGAAGAACCTAAGAACTACTGAACAAGCTGGTTTGTCCACTTACAGGACTAATGGCTTTCAAAACTGTGTTCATGCACACTTTTAACAGCACCCCGAGATGTTCCCAGGCACTGGAACACGGTGCGGACATCTGAGGTGTTACAGCCACCCTTGCAATGCTTGGAGATAGGTCCCCAAAACCACCCCAGGTTGCCAGCCCCAGCCCAGGAGCCAATACCCTCTGGTGAGCATTCCCCACATGCTGCTTGCCTGCCCTCACCCTGTTTGGGGACAAACTGTTTAGCAGACAATATGCTGCCCTTCCCTGCCAGGGTTCTGTATATAATACAGAGTCACTCTCTCCTGCACCCTATGTACAAAATGCTCTCTCTGGTTCACCCCTTCAGCTTTTATACCACTGGGATTTATATAAAACCCATCACTTAAGAAAAGTAGTCAAGTTTGAAATCTTCACGTTAGAAGTGGAAGTGACCTAAAGATGTCCATCTTTTTTTTTACTAGCGCAGAACTGCTACCACACAGCTACTATATACATTTTAATACGCACTGCATCACTTGGATAAAGCCTATGCTGGGATATTTTCAGGTGTAAGTACACTACTGTTTTCCTACTATAAACACTTCTACCTAGTTTATCCACAGCTTCAGACACAAAACATTATCCAAGTTTCTATGTTCTACAACAGCAAGCAAAGCATGTCATGCATACTACATATCTTCTAAGAAAAATGATTAAGCCTGAAGGAGTGAAATAAGGCTGCAGAGTAAATCCTGTCTTCCACTCTATGAAACACAAAGGTCTACCACCAAGAGAACTATATATTTGTAAAAAGTATGTATCTATAACATATACATATAAAAATAAATATATCCATTTCCCCTTCCAGAAGGATACCCCAAAAAATAGTAAACCATTTAGAATGAAATTTGATAATTTAAGTCACTTTACATTTTTAATAGCTTTCCATGGATTCCAGATAGTAGAATCATACTGTGTTTGCATTACATACAAGTCTTTTACAGAAACATTGTTTTCCTTGATGGTCCACTTACAGTTATCCTAAGCTACTTGGTAAGTCTAGCACACTTTGGAACTGTTCACAACTGAAGGATTAAAGATCAAAATATACTTTCATAGCAATATAAAACATAACTCCATAGGCTCTGCTAGTACTCTATCTCATCAACTAGTTTTGCATAAATCTGTTTAGGATCAGTATTCAGCCAATGAAGTCAAAGAGACATCACATGGAGTTCCACCAAGTTTTGGAGGGGCTGATATGAAAATCTTGTATTCAAACAATTTTTCAGCTCTGCCTTAATAAATGCCTCTTCAAATCCATGAATATATGTGCACACTTACTAATCTAGTTTTATATTAGCTCAGTATCTGTTGTATATCCACATGCATAACATCCACGCAAAAAGAAACCACCTTACATTTCTACCATGTCCAAGTCAGGAGCTTCCGGTTCCATGGTAGAAAAGATCAGGACTCCTACTGTTTCATCTTTTTCTGCCTTCCGCTTTCCAGTTTTCCACTCCTTGAGGGGAAGGGGAAAAAAAAAAAAAAAAAAAAGGACAAAGTTTCACCACCAGTGTTCATGCATCTTTAAGGGCAGTGAAGGAAATGTTTAGAAGAACAGTTAAACAATAGACCACCCATAAATTAAAACCTTTTAAATGAATGTTTCAGTGGGGCCATGGTTTCTTAAAGCTTCCCCCCCTCCTCCTTGTGCACTTTGTTTTCTAGATTCTGGGGTCAACAGACCCTTCTTGCATATTACTGAAATACAGTGTAAGAGCAATTATATTCAGCTGTCCCTGCATACGTGGTAGTGCTGATACCAGAAGCTACTCAAGAAGATCATGAGACTATTATGCAACTGCCATACTAAGTTCTTAGTGGGAACAGATAAAAAGGTTAAAAATTCCACATGTATTGCAACATCTGTTCTGTTTGTATCAGTCCGTCTCAGTCTTAGATACTAAGAACTGCTGACTAGCTAGCACAATTATACAACTCTCCACAGGCCATCCAAATAGCACTTCACTGGGACTGCTAGTTACTATGTTACTAAGCCTCTACTTACAGTATCAGAGAATAATTCTGGTTGGAAGTGACCTCAGGAAGTTTGTAGTCCAACCACCTACTCAGACATGGTCGGCTGTGACCTTAGTTACTCAGGGCTTTATGCAGTCTGGTCTTAAAAACTTCCAAGGATCATCTACTTTTTCAGCAAAATCTATGTGTATTTAGAACTATGACTATTTTGAGGAGAAAGCAGCAGAGTTTTCCTGTTTATTTCCTCATCAGTTGATACCAAAATTAGTAACAGAGCTGGAGTTCAGTCACGAAGAAACCATTATTAACTGAAAGTGAAGATGCTAAAACCTCTCAAACCATCAGAAAATGCTGGGGGGGGGGGGAGGCGGCATGGGAATAGAAAAACGGCTGGTTGTATCAGGGAAGACTGCAGCATAATGCTACTACAACCCACTCCCGCAAAAACTGTGTTTCTGAGGGAGGGGATTTTGTTTTTCAATATAATCCAGGATCAGACACATCCTAGATCAGCTACAAAGTAGCTTCTTTAGCGGAGCAGTACCAGTCAGAGGACCACAGTGATTACTAAGTCCAACAGAGACAGAGCAGGGCAACAGCCAGAAGAGTTTTTCTATACATTCCTATTCTGCTAGAGGACCCAAACTCTATTGGAACAGCAAATAGCATGTCACACAAGCAACTTCGTGCCTCATTATGATCAATGAGCTAAGTTAGTTAGTAAACCCAGCAGTTTTCATCTCGTCACTACTGCCCGAAGGCTACAAAGCTGAACTCTTAAACTCGAAGGAGGATGTTGGTGTGGGGGGCAGGGAGGTGAGCAATTCCTCAACCTCAGTCTGTGTGTGAACTTTATTTCCTACCTTCTCATCTCGGAAATTGAGAAACTGCTGGAAGACTTCACTTTCTGAGACAACAGGATGGCGGCACATCCTCGTCATCCAAGCTTGCAGTCTCTCCATACGCATTTTGATAAATTCTTCTTCAAAGCGTCCTGTTATGCATTGAACAGTAATTGTTACAATTTCTACCCTAGTACTCTCAGCTTTTTTTTTTAATTAAAACAGAATCTGTAATTAATCTGGTGAGTTAACCATTTAATGACTGAGAACTTACAAGAAGGAAACATTATGCTGACAGATCAGAAGAACCTTAAAATACAGTATATTGGTTACTGACCAAGAGTACTCCTCCTTTTAAAGATAGTCAGGAAATATTAAAAACCCATAATACCCACCCACAATTCAAATTAATTGGGGGGGAGGAGGTGTTAATAAACTTTCAGATAGAAACATTGGGTATTCAGATGACCCAAGAGAGAAGCTAGGCACAGGCTCAGAATGCAGATATTTTTCCGATACAATCTAGTAAATCCTGGGTCAACATAAGGCTCAAAAATGTTGGAGAAAAAGGAACTACTTTCCAAGTTGTCATGTCCTAGCTAACAAAGCATTTAAAAGTGGACTGCTCATATACAAATAGATTTAAAAAAGCAGTATTTCCCATAAACATATTTCTATATAGGTAAATGAATGTGTTGGGGAAAAAACTCAAAAAATCTCAATAAATCATATGTATAAACCAGTTAGAATACATACATGTAAGACTGATTTTTTGGTAGTTAAGAGATTTTAACACAAAACACAAATTTTAACACAAACAAGTAACAGAAATTTTTTTTAAAGCAGTAGTGCATCATCACTGTATTTACAAGAACCTTTTAGTTTTAGCACAAACTATCTCCTTGAGAGAATCTTTTTCAATCAAAAAAATGCATGACATCAGACTTCTAACGCATATAGTAAATAGGATGTATTTGAAAGGAATGAGAGATTCCTCCAGCACCCAACTCTTCTAATTTCCCATAGCAGCGCAGATGACAAACCTTGAGTGCATGTACTCTTTCAGTATAATTCTACTGTATAGTTACTATGGCAGCAGCTCCACACGGTTGAGTTTTTTGTGGTGTGTTTTTTGGTTTTGTTTGGGGGGAGGGGGTTTGGTTGGGGGGGGTGGTTTTTTTTTTATTGCAAATATGGAACTAGCAGGTAAAGAACACAACTAGTAAAAAATGGATATAGATACATTTCCTGCAACTTAGCTAGGAAAAAACAACCTTTAAAGTCTCTTCCTAGTAGTTGATTTTTTTATATAACCTGCAGTAATACCTTGTCACCCTTAATCTATACTGAAACCTCTGCAGCATTCCTGCTAGCGTAAGGAATGCAACGCAGCAGGAACAGCAACAATTGGAAGTTGTGCTGGTCAGTTAGGCATATCATCACCAGCAAGTCATGATCCCAAGCAAAGTCAGTCAATTTGTGAAAGAGTCTTGCTTTATCAAGACTAATGGACAGAAATACTTTTCTAGACAGTCTTCAAAAAGAAGCCTCCTAAACACAATGAAAAATAAGCACCATCTTTTCAGAGTTTCCCATAATGTTTCAAAAAAAGAGAGAAAAAGAGAGAGAAAGAGGCATGCTTTTTTTTTTTTCCCCCCGCATGACACAAGCTATCCTCTCCCACAGACTCCAGAAGACTGAAATCCACAAGCAAGGTTTAAATGCAATGCCAAACTCTCAAGTCTTTTAAAATACAGTTACAACAAAATCTAGAGATCCCATCAGGTCTTCTGGTTTCCTTTTAGTACACATGCACATGTTTAAGCAAAAATACTGGTGAATTCTAAACATGAGACTAAGAGGAGGGGAGGAAGTCGCTTCCTCACTTTTCAGTTTCCTCGGCATTTATCCCAGTATCCGCATCAATGCTCAGCTTTCTTCAAACACATCAGAGCTGCTGAATTTTCAGTGATGCCCACAGCCACATGGTTGGCGGCATGCCGGCTTTTGTATGTTTGTTATTGGCTGGTTGTCTTAAAGCTGTACAAAAATCTTACCAGAAAACACACAAGTGGAAATAGGCAAAAAGTAATGTATTTTCCTCCTATACAGGTGTCCAATTCTCTTCTTCACAGGTAGTCTAGCATACTCTTGTAGAAAGGAAACCAGAGACTACTGAAAACACACAGGCATTGCCATATTCACTTGAATGACTGAACTCATGAGCATTTAAAGCGTCCAATCCCACTTTTCTTGAAGTCAGAACAAAACATTTCCATAAGCTTCAGGGTTTGGTCAAGCTGAACTGACATCAAACCAGGGCAGAATGTTACACAAATCAAAGATGTTTTCTAAATCAGTTTGTCAGGGGATGCTCCCTTTCCTCCAGGAGCTTTGCTTCAAAGCTCCTACAACATAACATTTACAAACAAATACAAAAGAAAAAACAACATGCACAATCCCCCCCTCAAAAAACATTTCTCCAGGCAATCAGCAAATATGGAACATAAGCAGTTATCTCTTCTTGTCAATATAAATATTCTTTTCTGTGGTAACTGGGGACGGGGGGTGGGGTGGGGTGTTTGTTTTTAAAAGTCACTGGACTAGATAAGTAAACCTGAGATCTGAAATGATGCTCTTAGTGCTGATTTTTTTTAATCAATAGGCCATCACAACTCATCATAAATTCTGAATGGTGAAAGGTTGGGGTTTTTTTGATACCTTCTTTAAAAACAGTGGGAAAAACAAACAGAAATAACTGAACCTTGTAAAAAAGTGATCTCCTTTACTTCCCATCTCATGAATTCAAAACTGGGAACAATTACCTGTTACTTGCTTGTCTGGAAGAGATGGGATTGGAATGGCTAATCCGAATTTAACCAGGAGACGCTCATACAACCAGTCAAAGTGCTTGTATCTGTGGTTGACAGACCGATTAGTGTTCTGTAAAAGAAACACAACTCTGAAGTTTGACAGGCATCTACAGATAGTGACATGAAATAAGTGTGACCAGAATAGTAAATATGTGGAATGTAAATAAAATTTATGATTTAGAGCCTTGACCCTGTAATTACAGAAGAACTTGAAATGCTAGAACAAAGTAACTCTTTGGGGAAAAAAGTGTGACAACTGCCACTTACTCTTACAACCCTGTTACCAAGTCATGCAAACTGTATTATTTATATATACAAATGACCCATACTTGGAAAGAGAAGACCCCATTTCAGATACACTTACAGTGCAGGTCAACTGATATTCAATGTAGCTCTTGAGACCATACATTTTAGAACCTTTTTTGGGATCTGCCACGACACAGTCAAATGTAGAGGTAGGATAAACCCACATTGGGCCATAATCACCAATCTGTAAGAAATTGCAATATTATCTTTAAATACATCATGTTGTACCAGCTGCAAACAAGGAGACAAATACTTTCTCTCTTCACTTGAAAGTTTCCATTGATTTCAGAGAGAGCTTGACAGTCAAGAAATAGAGGGGTTTCTCACAACCAGAGATGACTAACCACAGTTGTGTTTATCTGATTCTGATTTTTACAGTTTTTCCCAAATAGCAAAAGAGTGGTAAATTCTAGGGATTGCAACTTCAACTACATTTCACCAGAACAGCATATATCTAGAAGAGTTTGGTGTTTCAGATCAGAAGATGACCTGACCATCATGACTGAATATTGCAAACCTTTATGCATGTAGTTCCTATATACTAGATAACTACCTAGATAACTAATAGACACTGTAATGCATTTGCTCTGCCTCCCAATCCCAAAAAAGGCTTTTTTTCATGATCACAAGTAATGCAGATCCAACATGAGGAAAAAAAAGTTCTGAGAAAAAAAAATAAAAATCAGCACACTTAGAAGAAAGGAGGAGTTAGGACTTGACCCTGAAAAATCACTCAATGATATATGACTCTGGAATGTAGCCTACCACAACTTTAAAATACTTAAAAGGTACACAGTTCTATTATGATAGTTCTATTTCTAATTATATGTTCAGTATCTGTTTCTTCTGACCCAAATACATATAGCATCCCTGAGGCTAAATGTTAAGCTGAGGAAAAAGGGAAGGGTGGGGAGCATAAAAACAAACACCCACAAAAAGAGCCAAAACAAACCCCCCCCAACCCCAAAACAAACCACACCACCCACACACAAAAACTACACACACATCCCCAGCTTACAATTATGGGAATTTTCTCTTTGGGTTTTGCTAGCTGCTTTGCCAACAGATACTGTTCCATCCCAGGTTTTGCAAATCCAGGAAATCTAACAATAAAACAAAGTGGTAAGTTACCTGCCACTGTAGGAAAAAAACCCTTAGTATTTCTCAAGTATAGAAAAGAATTGATGTGGGTTACTTAAACAACCAACAATTTGCCCTGAAAAAGCAGAAAAGTTTTAGCAACTGACCTCCAGCTTTTATTTGTGTAATACAGGCCCCTCCTTCCAAGGCAAAGTAGCTATTTGTGCTCTGCAGCCCATCAGAGCAAACATAACAGGATGACACAGAGTAACATCTGCCACTCCCCTGCAGTCCACCCTCTCTGGACATGCACACACAAACACACGGGCACACGCACACCATTCTGCCTTTTCAGGTGAGAAGTCAATCAGCTGAAAGAACGCCAAACTGCAGATTTATCAAGCACTTCTAAATATGAGTTACATTAAATAATGTATCAACCAATCAGAAAGAAAACCACACACACACACACAAAAAAAATCACTGTAGTGTCCTTAAACTCTGTGTAAAAAGCCTTACAAAAAGCAAATGGTGGGTCTCTTTCTAATTAGGAAGATACTTAGCCCTTCAAGTACGGACAACCTCCTGCCTGCTTGCCAAAACACAAGGAGTAAAGTAGGGCTTACTTCACAGACAAATAATGCTCTTAAATAAGGTATGTTTATGCTGGTTATAGTCAATGGGTTTGCAACAAGTAGATGCCACAGTGATGCAAAGGTACAGTTGCAAAACTGGACAAAGCCTCTGCTGATGGACTAAATCAACTGTCTCTGCACGACTAGTTATTAATTTTAGTTACCTATCTGAGGAGACCATTATTCTACAATCCTTTTCCACTCTGCTTTCATCCACTTAAAGATTACTACACAGCAGCTTCTCAGAGTAACAGTAGTTTAGAATAAACAAACATTAAGTTGTAACATGAGGTAATGCTAGTATAACCCTGACAAAGCTTCATGCTATTGTAAAATTGTTATCTAAAAATCAAGCTTTCTGTGGCTCAGAAATGAACCTGGGTGATGCACAGACACAGGAGAGCAGAACTTTTCCCCACTTGTAGCAACTCAAATTGCTCCCGAACTCTGGGGCAGCATGTCCGATCAGTCTCACCATATGGGCAAGCCATCCATCACCTTTCATTTTCACTAAGCACACATAGTGTTAAAGACAGTTCAGTTTTAAAGACCAGTACATTCAGAAGTTCAGACCTTGCAAGAGTGTCATTTGCCTGTACAACACCTCCAAAAATTATACAGCTTTGTCACATACTTTCAGGCTTTCATGTATCTGTGTTCTCTGATCACACAGGGAGAACGCTGAGCTACAAATCCATCTCCAATTTTACCCCAAAACTGTAATATTTACATTGCATATTTCAAGAAGGTTGAATGGCCACACATTTACACATCTTGACAAATTCCAATTCTCTTCAATATATACACATTTGCCCCGCATTTTCCATTACTTGTTAAGTGGTAACTTCATAGCAGCTGCACGAGAATTTCCACGCTGGACCCCCCCAGCCTCGGATGCCTCAGTCTCTTTGTAACCAAGGTAAGACGGTGAAGTTGATTTTGGGTCATCCCAGTCATCATCCCAATCATCGTCATCAGCAGCAGCTGAAGTACAGGAGAGGGCCAGGAGGTAGGGAAAGGAGAAAGTTAAATATTTGCTCTTTAAAAGCAGAAGCAGCTACCTCAGCACTCATACACAAATAATCAACAAGGTAAATATATTAAGAGCTAGTTCAGCCTTCTGTTTTATGATTCCTCCTCAATTACCTCTATCCCCACCAAATTCAACCTGCGAAACACTACACTAGAAATGTATTGGGCGGGGCGGGGGGGATCAGTGGGTAGAAAGAAGAGATGCTGGTGTGTTAAGATTAATTCAATACTGTTCCATATTCATAGACTCTACGTTAGCATTCCCCAGTTATGAGTTCTCTTAATTTAGGCCTTTACTACAAAAAGTTACAGAAGCCTTCTGAAAGGCTAGCCACTTCCTAAAATTCAGGATTTAAGAGATTACTTCTTCACAGACCTGAGGGCACAAATTCAAGGGTGTTTAAATTCCAGTTACGCAAGCTGAACAGCATGCCTGAGAATAGATCATGTATGCACAAGACTTTGCCTTGCCAGATTTCCATGCAAGTTTGAGGTATCTGTTACAGTGGATCCGATTTTTCTTTTTTAATTTTATATAAAAACCCCCTATTATTTTAGTGTCCAGTTTACACATGTGGCAACATGCTACTAGGAAGCTGGTTTTGTTTTGTTTTTTAAGTAAGCCATGTTCTATAGTTACAAAAGATTAAGCAATTCTTACCTCTACTGTCCACCTACTCTAATGTATTCAAAAATAAGAGCATTATTAGCACACCTGGTCCTTGATATGCCTGTGGATGACCAAATGCTGTGGCTGTCTCCCAGTTATTTGAAGCACTGTTTCTCTGGCCAGCTGCACTTTCAGGTTTCGTCACCCAGCTGTCAACAGTGTTTCCATTATCCCAGTTCCCAGACTTCCCAACGTTCCAGCTGGACCAAGGATCACTGGCATTGTTCGCCTACATCGTATAAAGACAAAAGTAAAGAAGAAATTGCTGAAGAAATAAGCAACAACCACGTACTTTCTTCTTGAAGACTTTGATCTCTTCCTGATAGGCTATGAGTTTGCATTCAGTACTTTACTAATTTGATTTAGGAGCAGCTGCCAAATCTTGCGTTCCCAGCTACACAGCTCAAATGCACTAAGCACCTGGAAGAACTGATCAGCTTTCCAGCAATGTGACACCAATACATACTAATAAGAATTTTACATCTCCTCAGGGGAAATTAAACTATTTGCTCCAACAGTGTTAGGAAGCACTCTTACCAATGGTAATTATTTTACACCAACACCATAAGCATGGTGCATGTGAACTATTAATTACATAAAGCCATAGACTAATCAGCACATTTAAAACAGAAACTCAGAAGTCAAGAATTAGGTTTTTTCAAATGCTTATTTTATCAAGCTCAGATTAGTGGCTTTACTAAAAGCAAATCATAAATTGCCCACCCACACCATCACTATTGGTGTGACAGTTAGGGAGTTAGGGCCAGCAACCTGCTCTACTTCCCTGTCAGAGCTTAACTCATTCACAGTGAAGACAAGGGAAGGAAACAAACATCTGCCAGGGAACAGTCTGGCATCTCCCTGTAGGCCTACTCTCTCAGCATAAGCTTCTGGTGAAGGTAATCACACATACCCTTCTGCTGATGTGGTTGTGGAGGTGGAAATGTCTGCTCTACACTCTTTCACTGACACGTCTCTAACTACTGCATCAGTTTGTCAAGTTCATCTGTCAGTAAGTTGGATTAATAGCTTAGCATCCTGCTCAGCTGCTTGATTTTAACACTACACTTTGAAAAAAGCATTGACTAGTTAAGTGCAGTCTACTCCAGACACTTAGTACAGAGACTAGCTGGCAGAAAGGAAAAAAAAAGAAAAGAAAAAAAAAGCACACAAATCAAAACCCACACCCCCAAAGTGTAGCAGGAAGAAGGAGGAGAAGTGGAAGGAAAGCAAACAAAGCCTACAAAGCTTGTCTTGTTCAGCAGAGGGAGAAACTGAGTTTTGTAAAAGGAAGTCTCAAAACCTACAGAAGCTGGTGCATTATTTTTATCATGAAGCAGCATATCAAAGAAGGGATGCCTAATATAAATGAATTTCTGTCAGACTATAACATTTCCACAAATCTTAGAACATTTGCCAGTACAGAAAATTTAATAAAACTCCTACTAAAAGCCAAATTATTCTCTGCAAAAACATTAAGTTTGTTTCTTACACAAAATACACACAAAACAGGTACAGCTACTCCACATTCCATTTTTCTCCGCTAAAAATTCTCTCCTCTCATTTCAACTTTGAGATACTACTTAGGAATAAGAGCTCTCGCTTTAGTTTTTCCTACGATAAAGTCACCTGACAGTCATTTCAGACACTATCAAACCTTTAAGACTTGAAAATACTGTTGATATCATGTAACATTTGTTCTTTAGGTACAGAATCCCCAGGATCTGGAAATTAAGACCAAGCCCCCAAGCTGTGGGGAAATCACCATTCAGAAGACTCATGAGAATCGGTGAGTCTCTAGGAACTGATGAGTTAGAGAGGTTATGTGGACAGCTTCTATACCAATAGGTTGGAGGATTTTTTTTATTTTTTCTTTTTATTTTTTTTAGGATGAAACTGATGCAAGAATACTACTCCCTATGGGAGCAATATCATTGAGGTCTACTTAATTCTTGGATAGCTGATAATGCAGCGCTACTCTCAGCAATTACAAAGAAGTTGCTGGTAGCTTATACCAGCCTGCTCTTCCTATGATGTTCACCTGATAAGAGTTTATGTAAAGAGAAATAACCATACATGCCATCAGTCAGAGTTTATTGTCTTTCCTAAATGAAAAAACACATACGCTGGGGCCCAACCACATGGAAAAGTGTGCCTGCTCCTAATATAACTTAGAGCGCCTAGAAAAGGATAGTTTGCATAATGTTCATTTGCCTATACTTCTGCAATATAAGTTGTGCTGATTACTGGCAAATGAAAGCCCAGAAGTGGGATGATTGCCAAAAGGCTGAGTAAAGTTTTCCTCTTTGTAGTTCATGTGAAATCTGGTACATGTGACTATATTTCTCTGTAGTTGATGTGAAACCTTAAAATCTGCTGCAAAACAAGGGGAAGGCAATAATATTAACACTGGGTACCCTACTAAAGAATGACTGTCAAGAGCAATCATCACCAAACTTGCAGACAGTTGCTGATATACACTAAATGCTGTACAGCAAGGGGAAATGGATTACTTAAATAGCTCTCCCGGATGCCTTATCTCTATGAAGCACTATTCAAATCAGAAGATTTTACTTCAGAGGTGTCCAAGAAAGCTCTGGGGTAAGCTCTTACCCCTCGATATATCACCCACAGGCTATAAAAGGGGTGGCATATGCTATTCCCACTCAGCTCCTTTCAGCCAAAGGGTCCACATTTCTTTCAGAGATACTGGGAAAGAGGGTAAGAGATGGGTTAGGAATGTAGATATAGACAACACCTCTCAAAGAGCATTTACAGGTCTCCTTTCATCTTTCTTCAAATGTTTGCTTATATGCACACACACTGTGGACGCTTCTAAGTGGTAGCCAAGAATCAGTAAACGTGGAGAAGGGTTCAGGAATCAGGCCTGCCATCCTCAAGGTGTGATAGCACAGCATTTATTAAAAGGGTAGTCTCAGCTCCAGTCAGCAGTTCTGTGGATCTCAGCAGCTGACAAATTCTGTACAAGAAGCCATTCATGTGGCTTAGCTCTGGTTGAATAAACCCTAATTAAGCCAGCAAGTATTTTGTAAGTGATTACATTACATATTCTCACACCTTTAGTTTTCCATAACTGAAATTGATAATCCTCTGATCTCTCTTTACTCAGCACAAAAAAAGATGAAGACTCCTTGCAAGAAGGTATTATTTAGTCAATATAACTTGATACAGCACACCTAATGATCCAAGTATGCAAGCAATCTCAAATGCAAACACACAAAAAGAAATGCCACACCACACATAATTAAGAAACTAATCAACCATCAGGTGAAACATTACATCTCTTTGCTTCTAAAGGTAACGTCGAACAAGTACACTGAGATTAAATTCAAGAATAAACTTAAAGGCAGCTGATTTTCCCTTTTGTAGACTATTATGGACTTGCTCACTCCTACTGTTCTAGGAGAAAAACCACCACAAAAAGGTTATTTGGGAAGAGGCAACAGAGGGAACATATTACTAAAGATTTTAAGAGTCTTCCATTAAGTGCAAATTCAAACTCACTATAGAAACAGACCATTACTGGTGGGGGACTGGGAGAGGGGAGGAGAAGTCTAGTATGTTTTTGATGATCTAATAATAGCTGAATGAGAAAAAATTCCACCACAACAGGAAAATCCTCAGCTTGGGGGTGGAATGTCAGTATCTTTACCAAATGAATCATGAATTAAATAGGAAGAAGTGACATCTATGCTATTTTCCAGAGAATCCAAAGTTATAGACAGTAAAGCTAAGGTAAGTCACTGAGGCATCTCTCTGCCCTGGCTAAAAATCTTTTTTTGACCTCTTGGCCAACTAAGTTGTTCCTGGCAGAATCCTTCCTCATATTAATGCACGCCCCTGATGGACAAATAGATCCATTCTACCCTGAGGGACAAAAGCCAAAACAAACATCATGTTCAGATGCTGAAACTAAGCTGAGTACCTAAAAAGATCTAGGTAACTGTGCCACCAAAAATTACAACCTCCAACCATAAGAAACACCCCTTGAAATCTACTATGAGAGACAGAAGCCATGCTGAAGCATTGAATAGAGAAAGTAAGTCTTATCAGATCAAGGGAAGTCCAGAACAGCCAAAGCTGCAATGAGAAGTGTTACACTCTTGAAGAGGGGCTGAGAAGAGATAAGGCAGCACAAATGGCAGAAAATACAAGAAAAGTCATGGTGGCTCAGCTGAATACCTCACAGGAATGAGCATACCTCTCCAGTTTTATAGCTGCCTTAGTTACCTGCATGGAGACAAAGCCTTAGGCATACTCAGACATTACACTAAACTCAAGTTCTTTGGATAACAGCCTCTGAACAGATACATAAGAAAAGTATGTGAATATAGACAGTCACCCTAAAAGTCAAGCTTTTTTCCTCCAGGAAGAAATGTGAAGGGCCAAAAGCCTACTCTGCAGCAATCAGAACTGCATTCACTGTGCTGTATTTACCATAGAGCAAGTGTGCACATTAGCAGATACTGAAGTAGCTGCCATGCCCATTATGCCCAAACTTTCTCCCTGGTAAATCATAACCTTTGCATTGTGGTCCTGGGCACTTCTTCCACTTCTGTTGTACAATTTAAACATGCGTTCTCCTTGAAGAAATCCTTTAGGAAAAGCAAAAGTGGAGATGGGCTAGACTTTAATGCTCCCGTCATCTTGCTTCCTTCCAGAGGAAACCTCCACTCCAGCCCTACTGCCCCCTTCATAAAGCAGTCCCTGCCAAGGAGCTGGGCTTTGCTTGCTTACAAACCACATAAAGCCAAGGCACACCCACTGGACACTCCTTGCTTTCAGCAGGAAAAAAACCAAACCACCAATGGAAGAACCAAGTTACTACCATGAAGAGCAGAGCAGTTAGTTTTTTGTTCTTTTCCTACTTCCAATCCCATTTCTTTATCTGGGAGCTTGTTCACAGCCAAAATAGACTAGAAGCTGCATTGCTGCTGCACAGTGCAGGCACAGGATTCCCATCTATTAACTCCTGATTCAGCTCAAAAAAAAGCCATGCTTGAAGAACAGAATGGTCTTTTAAAAAAGATATAATTTAGACTTGAGCAAGGAATACTCTGTGAGGCGACAAGGGGAGGGATAAAACACATCTATTGTCACCCTGACTACTTAAAGGAAATGCCTTGTTTCTTTTAAATTAAAGTTTGCTTAGTTTCAACTTTCAGCCACTAAAAATCCTACATACATTTATTCAATGGAGCTCTCGCA